CTTAAACCAACAGTCATCATCATTATGGTTGTCCTTTCCACATCGTTTACATTTGTTGTTTGACGTCTTAGTCTTTGATAAAGACAGTGCATTTACCGTCAGTGATCCGCTGAGTTGATGCGCTTCACGTGACGCTGTTTCCATGGAGACTGCCAGCTCCACCGCTCTTTGAAAAGTCAGCGTAGTTTCAGTCAACAAGCGCTTTTGTGTAGCCTCACTCTTCAAGCCACACACAAATCTATCGCGAAGTGCATCATCCAAATGTCCCCCAAATTCACAGTGTTCTGATAGTCCTCTAAGCACTGCAACATACTGTGTCACCGACTCGCTCTCCTCCTGATTCCGCCGATGGAAACGAAAACGTTCCGCGATGATCAGGGGCTTCGGAGAAAAATGTTGCTGTAGAGTGTCTGTGATGTGTTTAAAGCTCTTCTCTCTCGGCTTATCCGGCGCAATCAGACTTCGATTCCTATGTATGTCTGCACTATCATGTATGTCTGCACTATGTTTGTACTTTCTTCTACACTGGAAGCTCCTGTTGTCAAGTCAAATTCCTTGTGTGTGTAAACATACTCAAACAAATAAACAAGCTCTTCTGATTCTGATTCTGATATATATATATATATATATATATAAAATACTGTGCAGAACCCTTAAGCTCCCAGGTCTCTGGTAGAGAACCCGAGCTTGGAGGAAGAAAAAAGACCACCCACTAGGGCGAGTGAAAATATTTAATACTGTTACAAAGGTAACAGAAATAACTGTAGCTATAATATGGATTAGTCTATATTTAATTTATAATTTATGCAGTTAAGACTATAAAGTGTTTGATAACTTTATTTCTGTATATTACCTACACTCTAAAAAAGATGGTTCTTTAAAGGTTCTTTACACCACAAAGCTATTTTTTGTGTCCCTCCCCCAAAGGAAATCTGGATTTTTTTTTTATTGTTTTGAAACAATATAATATAGGTGCAGTTCCACACATTACAGATGGCAAACCATGCAGGACAATAATGGAAAGCTCATCCACTGTTAGAACCTGTTAACACTGGTGTTCCACCCTGTTAGACAAGTAATTTTAAATAATACTTTGACAGCACGTTAAATGTTTGGCATACTTTTGAGTTATTTTGTGAGGTGAGGAGCATTAACAGCATATATATGTTTTTGAGCAAAATTTTGTATTATTTACCATCCTGTTTGCAAAAATGGCACAAAAAAGTACCTGTTCTTAATAATAAAGACATATACTATTAATCAATAACTGTTTTGTAATTGTGTCAAGAATAAAAAAAATACTACTATGGCATAAGGGACATATACTATCCAAAAGCTCATTATTTTTTTAACATTTACATTATTAATATTTTGTGATAACTATGTATATGTCCCTAAAAGGGTGGAATACTTTCACAGCCAGTGTCTGTACAATCTAGCCATAATTATTATTTTTTCAGTCCCTGAGCTTGACCAGTATGTATTCCTAATAATTAAACATGTCACTATTTTGGAAGAATGCTAAAAACAGGAAAAACATGTAAACAATTTTCCAAAAATTATGAAGCCAAAATGTTACTGGATACCAGAAATGACCCAATTACTTTATACATTAATGTATTATGAAACATTTCCAGTCTTTAAATTTGATTGGCCTGAGCTGCTTTCCAACAGGGAGACATTTCACTGTTTGTATTGCTTCATTTGTGAGTTCACACCATTCTAAACTGTAATATGCAGTGTTGAGTGGAAACGGAGCGGGGGCGTTATTTTTTCTTGCAAACCGAATCAATTCTGAGTGATTTGCAGAGCGGCTGTTTCAAACTAATGGCGGCTCGTGTTTTCTCTTGCTCAGACGATAGCTCGAAACAGGTTTCTCTTGCAAATGATAAAATTAAATACCTGGAGTGGAACACATGGAGTCAACATAGCCTGTTGCAGAATGCATTGATTGGGAATTGGAACTTCACTCCTCTCTCAACATATATGATGTTCCAGTCCAACTTTTAGATGCTCCGCTTGACTCTGTGATTTTACATGTAATTACAAATAATCTGTTCTCTTCATTGAGAAATGTTGGCTTGTTAGGAAAGGAAATTATAGAAGAACAAAATGTGCCCCAAAGAAAACATCACAGTTGAATGAAAATGTTTTTGAATTTTAATTTGACAGAATGACTGAAGGTTATACCAACCTGAAATGCACATCTTTGAAATATTTAAAAATCATTCCAGGTTAAACATTTTCTTACTTAAGACAAGATGGCGCTGGTGAATACACTGAAATTGGATTATTCACAATAGGCCATTTTTTAAAAATCTAATTAAACAAATGTTTGGTGTATGTGATATTGAAGTAGAGAATTCTGGCTCAGTGCAGGAGAAATAACTCATATTGAGAAAGCCATTAAGAAATGTACAGGTGCAAATAGATAAAGTGTAATAAAATCTCAATATTATCCAATGCATGAAAAAACAATGGTTTGCTTGTATAGTGTCTTGCCTTAAGTGGTACATGTAGGCTACAGCAAAATCATAACAAACAAAAAACACAAATGCACATCCAATAACTCAAAACACATTCTTTTTTCCTAACACATTTATTATTTTCTGACATTTTTATTCTCTTTCGTTCTGAGATGATCCGTGGAACAAAAAGAAGAACATTTACAAGAGCAACATGCAGAAATGTTTCGCCTTGCAAGTAAGAGAGAAGATGAAGGTGGGTGTTTTCGGGCAAACATACTAATTTCAACAAAAGCACTATAGTGGGCAATATGGAAAATCTGATCACTTTTACAAAAATAGATGAGCAAACAGCCTGGCATGATTTTGGATGGTTATACAACGGTGCTAATGTGGCTTGGAATCAGATTGGAAATCAGGAGAGATTTCCTTGATTACTGAGACTTGTGTGCGCAGGTCATAACCTACGTCGGTTTCGTCAACAGCTTTTTAATGAGCCGCCTGTTTTGTTAGTCCATCAATCAAGTCCCAGTTCAGTAGCAATATGAGAAAAACAACAATGGGCCTGTGCTGTCTGTGAGCTCAGCCAGTGTTTCATGAAATAAAAAAGAAACAGACGTAGGCGTTTTATATTCAAGCGGAAGTTCATAAGAAAAGACTCTGTAATGTAAATAAATACATAAATATATCAATATAGAATAAATACACAAACCTCGTACAACAGTTGTTTTTCTTCAACAATACATTAAGTGGGGAGTGTGTGGCAGCATCTGACACAAAACAGATGCAGCTGTGAAAAATAAACAGGCTAGAAGGCAATTCTTTCACATTTTCATATGTCATCTTTATGGTTTGCTTTGCTTTGCCTCAGCTATCGTCTTCCACTTCTAAAGCAAACAGTTTCATCTCAGCATCACCTTTTAAGCAACTAACAGGTGCCATGGTAATTGTCTTGCAGTGTTAGTATACATGCACTCGTGTGCTCTGGAGGTGAATGTGGAAGGATGGATGTGGTTTTCAGAGCATGAAAAGAAAACAAACCTTGCAGAGAAGTTGACCCCTATGAACCACAGACTAATGAAATGCTGCAAACACAGATGTGAATCAAATATAAGCCATCGCAAGAGTCTCCAGAAAGATGGTTGCATTTCAGACAGCCGAAATGCTAGAATAATACCCCCTTTTTTTTTCTACGGTTTTCATCTTTTAATGGACTGAGCTTGCTAATTGCACAATAAAAGAAGATGTGAGTTCAGGAAAAAAAAAAATGCAGTCTTTCAGTTTAATGACGGTCCCGTCCTTCATTAGTCTGCGTGTGTTTTGTCTGGCTGCTCTGAAGGCCTCCATGAGCTCAAGAGGCTTTTGAAACTCAGTAGGAATGTGGTACTTTGCTAGCCGTAGATAAGAGCGTAGAGCTGTGTGTTATTATGTGTGTGCTCACTGAAGACTTTGATTCGCACAAACTTTAGAAATGACAAAGAAATGAGGAGTCGCTTTTACTGAAACGTCCTACAGCCATAATCCATCACATCCCAGAAGGAGGAGGTTGTGTCCTCAAAGATTGAAAAGTTTTATCCCATTAAACATGTGCTATGCACCCTAAGCCTCACAACTGATTGATGAGCTAATTATGGGTTGTTAAAGTGACAGTACAAGAATTACTACCCCTTTCAAATCTTTCAATGACACCAAATGATGCGAGAATGAACTGGCAGAGGAAAACGTCTGTTCCTCAAATGATCTTCTAAGGTCAGACATATGAACTATTTGTGCTTGACCATGTTTTTTTAAAAACGCTGCTTATGTATAGCAACAAGTAATGCAGCAAAACCCAACATCTACCCGTAAATGTATTTTCCAGATGAAACATGAAACTGCTGGAGGGCTTGCTTACTTTCTTTTTCCTTTTTTTTTTTTTTTACTTTTTGTGCTCATGGTTAAGAGGTGTATGTATTTTTCATGATACAAGTGTTTACAGTATGGTGATTATAGGTGCTGCAGAGGGCTGCAAAGCACTGTTGCTTCTTTTAAAACTAAAAAGAAGCAACAGCTTCTTTTAAGCCAGTCTAAAGCCGAACATATACTTCATTTTTGATACAAACACTTTCAAAATGTACTCCAAACATGCACATTAGAATGTTTCATCCTTGTCTAGTGTCTGCGCCATTTCTTTTCAGAAGTTATGACCAATAAACATGTCTTTATACTCGTTTAAATGAGAGAGTCTATTAATTTCCTCACACAAGTGCCAAGTGTCATACTCTTGTGAACACGACTCGAAGACTGACATGGAAGAGAAGAAATTGTTGAATAAAGCTGTTATCTTTGTGCACAAAAAGTATTCTCGTAGCTTCATAAAATTAAGGTTGAACCACTGATGTCACATGGACTATTTTAACGATGTCCTTACTAACTTTCTGGGCCTTGAACATGGTAGCTGTGTTGCTGTCTATGCGGGGTCAGAAATTTATCTGATTTCATAAATAGTATCTTAATTTGTCTTCCGAAGATAAACAGAGGTCAAGACGGGTTTGGAATGACATGAAGGTGAGTAATAAATGACAAAATTTTCGTTTTTGGGTGAACTATCCCTTTAAGCCCAATGTATACTTTAGTTTTAGCATATCTTAGCATATGCATAAAAACCTATACGTTGGGCTTAAAGCCGCCTTTTCATTGTCTACGCACTTGTCTGCACTAGTGGCAGTTGAAATAAACTATGCATTTGTTTGTGAAGCTACTGTGTTTCTGGTCTCCAGGAAAGGGGCATGACAGCACAAGCATTTAACCTAAGGTAAATGAATAGCTGAAAACATGCAGAAAAAAGACTAATTATGGAGAATAGGAACAGCATAAACAAGTATGTTTATTTATTCATAACATCTATTCTACAGAAGCAGCAGATATTTAGGGGAGAGTTTTTTTTGTAAAATTATTGATAGTTTACATTCGTGCTCTTCGTAAATCAAAGCCAGTCGGACATTCTCATTCTGTTTTTTTGCACTATTTGAAAATTTTCAATGTGAAGCTCAAATTGGATCCTAAAATCCTGCGTCCGTTGTGGATCGCAGAGCCTGTTATGAGGAATCAGATTTCCATCAGTTAAAGGACAACTTATGTGATTTTCAGTCAGCTTTATATTGTTACAATGTTGTTTGTATATGTAAATGAACATGATTTGTACTCTTTCCTCATGTTTCATGCACCCAGATATCCCCATTTATTGTCTATTGGATGACACAAAGCTGTTTAAAAATGGTCACGGTTATCATTTAATAAAAGGATAAAATGAATTTGTTTGCTATGCTAGTATGTAGGCTAACTAAAGCAGACAATATAACATGCTTCAAATGAAATATGACATGATTTTGTAGCAATTGTAATCTGGCGCTAAAGATTCTTTGAGCCAATGCTATCTATCACTTGCGGTCCTAATGGAGACCCTAATTTTTCATGACTCTGGAATCCACAAAGGATCGAACAATTGCGAATGAATTTGGGTCTATAATCTGATGTAAGCAGTGAAAAGGTGGCTTAAAGAGATACACACATTTAGTCTAATGCTAATCAGGCCAGATTTTTCGTAATATTAGTGCAGGTTAAGATTGAACGTGCAATGTCAGTGATGTGCCTTGAATATTCAGATGGTCACAGCTTTTGATATAAGAAATTAGCTTTGCTTTTTGCGAGCAGACATTTTGTTCGCTCTAGATTCCCAGGTGTCTCAGTATTAGCTTCATTAGTACAGCAACATGTCTTCATGACAGATCCCCTCTGCAAAGCCCAAAGCTACAGTTTGACATATAAATACATCTGAATATTTACTGAGGCAGGCTCTGTGCTGCTCTCGGTGGCTAGCCCAATTAATACTGAATGCTAACATTGTGAAACCCTACCCATCAGCTCCATCTCCTTTGGTAAGACCATTGTGAACGTGTGAAGTTTTCTGGATGATGTAATAGTAAACTATGGATTCTTACTTTAATCTGAAGTACAAATACAGTAGTTACATTGCTTGTTCTGTTGAATGCTAGATCACTTTATTTTAAAGTCTCTGATTGTTCATCTTTAAGTTATATTTACAACGCATGTCCTAACAGGAACAATGGACACACAGGAACAAATTCAAGTGCTATTCATATCATTTAGGTCTTAGTCATGAGAACCGTGTTACAACGTTGTAATCGCTAAATCCAGTATAGCAGCTAGCCCTGGTATATGATAGAACTGGTTTAATACCGCAAAGTGACGCTGAATTTGAACTGAGGCAAAATATCAGTAGTGCTGTGCTAGCAAGACAGTAATGTAAACGACAAAAACAGAAACTTAAAATACACATTATGTAAATAAAAAAGAAGACATTCCCTTCTTTATGTTTAAGTATCAGTGCATTAGACGTGAAGGAACATCGACGTTCAAAAATGGATGACCGTTCGCTCTTGGGTCAGCCTTTGAGACTGTTGCAACCATTTTTTGTGTCTCTTTTTAATGCAGAGTTTATAAAATCATGGAAGTGAGCAGTTTTATCAGTTCTCAGATGTTATCTCATGAATATACATCATATTTTTCTTTCTGTCTAGCGCCCTCTGGTTTTGTTCTTGCAAAATACTGATGATATTGCCTTAAAAAAGACTAATCTGTGCTTTAGAATAATAGGTCCATATTGTTGAGCTTGTTTAGTTGTGGTTTACAGGAAAAAGCATCCAAACTGTTAAAAAATGTGGTAGTAGGTATCCTCTTTTGGGTCCTGCTGGAAGCATCCCTGCAACACAAAGTAAAAGGAACGTTCAGTGGTACATCTGTACAGAGCCACACTTCTGTCACTTAGCATGGCCAGATGCATGTCCTTCAATGACCCCATATTTGCACAGTGAAACCGAGATGATTAAGTCTGAACAGATTGCTTTTTCATTACCAACACTGAAGCAGATGTCAGATCTCCACGTTTGGGTCTGTAAAGCCTTTCTTGCCTTCGTTCACCAGTACAGGTTTTTCCGTCCGTGTGTGCCACACAAGAATCTGTAATTAAAAAACCCAAACATTATGGTTTATGGAGTGGAAAGAGGATAATTTGATTTTGTGATGATAAACTGATAAACTGTTTCTCTTAGCTAGGTCAATCACATCATAGTCTGTATCTATTTATGTATATATTTATTTCAAATTACATTGAAATTGCAATTTATACCCCTTCTATGAGCATGTTTTTCATTTCTGTATTAAAACACAGTATACAGATGGGCTACAGCAGCAGATGACCATACCAGGTGCCATTCCTGTCAGCAATTTGTACAGGCTCACTAAAATTTGAAAAATATAAAAAGGTTGCCTGGTCTGATGAGTCTCAATTTCTACTGCAACATTTGGATGGTATGGTCAGAATTTGGTGTAAACAACATGAAAGCATGGATCCATCCTGCCTTGTATTAACAGTTCTGGCTGCTTCTAGTGTTGTGATGGTGTGGGAGATATTTTCTTGGCACACTTTGGACCCCTTAGTACTAACTGTGCATTGTTTTTAAACTCTGCGGCCTACCTGAGTATTGTTGCTGACTATGTCCATCCCTTTATGTACCAATCGTGTGATGGCTACTTCCAGCAGGATAACGCGTCATGTCATAAAGCTCAAATCATCTCAAACTGGATGACTGAACATGACAATGAGATCACTATACTCAAATGGCCTCCACAGGCACCAGATCTCAATTCAAAAGAGCACCTTTTGGATGCAGTGGAACGGGAGATTCACCCCCTGGATGTGCAGTCAAAAAATCGGCAGCAACTGCGTGATGCTGTCATGTCAATATGGCCAAAATCTCAAAGTAATGTTTCCAGCACCTTGTTAAAATCTATGCCACAAAGAATTAAGGCAGTTCTGAAGGCAAAAGAGGGTCCAACCCTGGTACTATCAATGCGTACCCAATAAAGTGGACAGAAATTATATATATAATAATTCAAAACAATACTATTAAACCATATGAAACCAACATGAATACTGTTAAGTACTGCCTGTCTTTGTGCCTTTTTTTTGTGTTCTGATATTTATGTTGCTTAGTTTCCTGTTCCCTGTGATTGTTTTGTAGTTCTGTTCTTTAACACTCTTCTTTGTTGTTCTTTTAGTTAAGTTTTTGCACAGTCTGTAAGTTTACATCTGCTGTTAGCCGCATCCTACACGGTAGTGCTCACAAACACTCACAGATATAAAGTTTCTCCTCAGCAACAGTGTACCATCCACAGTACATCTCCAAATTTAGCATGGTGATCCTCTCGGAGTGTAGAACATATCCATCAGAACATCTCTCTGGGTACAGATCTGAAGTACTGAAATATACATCAGCTATAGCTATTGTGTGCGTGTTTGTCTAAATGTGTCTCTTGGCATGGCACAGAGATAAAGAGACAATGTGTGTTATATATTTTACTCTACCTATTTATGCCATTAAGATAAAGTAATCAGTACAAAAAAATATTATCTGCCTCATTACACTTCCTGGAAATTGTTGTTAATGTCTAGAGGTAGAAACACTGACTCATCTTTTCTCTTCCATTTCCCTTGTTGCTGTCTTTCAGAAACCACTGTCATTCTGCTCATTGCCTCATGAATAATTTCTAATAGTGTTGAGATGGCTCTGGAGGCCCCACTTCCACTTGAGCTGCTCGCGGAGGTTAACAGTCCCACTTGAAATAATGGTGCGTCTGTTGAGTTGCTCTGGCGGAATGTAGTCCATGGAATCTTATCTTTTCCAGAAACAAGATGTGACATGTATGCAGGTGTATTTGTGCACCTGTTCTTTTCTTTGGGGTAAACAGACAGCGAGTCCAGGAACTGGTTCTCATTTGTCTGCCTCTAAATGTTTAAATCCTGGTTAAGTCTCATTTTAAATAAGGCATCCCTGAGCTCAGTAATGTCAATTAATGCATCAATTAGTCAGTCCCTTCACATATCACCAATTAAAACATCAATTAGCCAGTTTCTTTTTTTTCTATATGCATATACACACAGTCTCATATGCACACACAGATTTTTGTGCCATTATATTATGCATTTACATGTATAAGGCTTTTTTTTTTTCAAAGCGACTAATGATGAATGCTACAACAGAAGTGATTTATCCTGGCGAGTCAGTAACGTGAGAAGTGCCGCAACAAATTGTTCCAGAATTGCTAAAAAATATGTGCTAGTACTAAGAGAGTGAGACACTGTTATACAACAGTGAGAGAATACAGAATAGTAGTGTTTTTTTTTTGTTTTTTTTTACAGTTGTCCTTGGGTGTTTTTTAGGAGGAGAGAGATTTGGATTCATGTATGAAATAGTTCAGACATACATAAACGCTTGTTCTTTATCTAGCCTTGTATATTTCTGAATGCTCAAGACTTTTAGAAATTCTCTCCTCTGTCCCCCTCCACCACCACCCACCACTTCAATAACAGCTGATGATTTCGCCACATTCTTCACAGACAAAACTAGAACAATCAGCAGTCAATTCTCAGCCCCACACACACAGGACCTCCAACCAACCACATCCACTACTAAAACACCCATCTTCTCCTTCTGTCCCCTCAATGAGGCAGAAGTATCAAAACTTCTCCTCTCCAGCCATCCTACAACATGCCCTCTAGATCCAATCCCCTCACACCTTCTCCAAGCAATCTCTCCTACACTCTTACCAGCACTCACACACATCATCAACACATCTCTTCTCACAGGCACCATCCCCACTGCATTCAAGCAGGCTCGGGTAACCCCACTGTAGTGCTGAGTGAATATTGTCAAAAAATACCACACTAAATAGTGACTAAACACGACCCTTTTAATACGTTAACCAGGAGTAATTTACAAGATGACTTTAAAGAGCGGCTATGCGGTTGTTTTGGCTATATTACTTTTTTGTCTCATGCAGTGCACTGCCTGCGTCTGAGTAACAAAAAAACAAACAAAAAAGTGCATGTGATATTAACAGACAAACTACGCTCATATTTATAATTCCAAACAATCAGTAA